ATATATGTATTATACATATAATTATCAATAATTTCACGTATGTCACGTTTGTATTTAAAATTAACATTATCGCTTGCTGTGCTTCATCTTTGCTACAAATAAGTAAATACCTTGTAGATTGATAGCTATGCCAGTGGAGCGAATGCAAGGCTTACATATATTATAACACATCACGTAAATCCTAATGGTTAAACGAATCGGTCTTGCATAATAATTGATTATTTAATTGATAAACACAACAGCGACAAATAATAACAGTTTTGCCTAATTAACATAATATTAAATTTCACATTATCTACACATTTCTTCGTAATACATTCATGATAATAGAGCATAGCGCAACAATTTAATCTGTGCTCATCTACGATCTGGTGATCCTTCGCTGACCTTTGATCAGAACCACCCCTTTCTGACCAATGTCGACAGATCAGACAACCTTTCCCGAGTTTCTACCATTTTGATTGTTACTAGGTCACCCGTCAGATGCATCGCTGCCTAAAAATCTACACAGACAAAATGGAGGTAGATATTCATTCTTCAGGTAATTATCAAAGAAAGTTAGTGGCGTCTGCAGCCAGTGTGAATTATTACTATTTCGTTATTGATTTATCACCATCACTGTTACAGCGATCACGACTATAGCCACCGAGTCTGTTGAGTAACAAGACGGCTGATTTCTCATGGAACTGTGACCCATCTAGCTTCGCCCGTCGCGTACGTTAGTTCGCAGATTGACTGCAATCGCATCGCGTCCGTCACCAGGGTATCATTGCTTTGGCCGTGGCTTTACACACGCGCGCGCGCTCCCGCGGGCATAGCTGTTCTCACACACACGCACGCACACACACGCACGCACGCACGTACTCACACACACACACACACACACAGACGCACGCACGCACGTACTCACACACACTCACACACGCACGAACGCACACATACACGCACACACACACGAACGCACACATACGCGCACACACATACACGCACACACGCACGCACACACACGCACGCACGCACGCGCTCACACACACCGGTCTCACAGCCCTCATTACACCAGCGATGTAGTGGCTCCACCTGCCGTCAGGTTTGGCTAAATGTCACAGTACCATCTCTAAATCTGGCGCGCACCTAACAAGTATCTAACTGTTACAAGATCGGGATTTCATCACTCACAGTTTATACTCGAGTTTCCCGTTCATACAAACACAGCGTATAAATAACCGTAAATAGGAGGTAGCTAACACTAACTAACGGCATCATGGACCACCGCGTATACTCGCATTCGCCCGTCGACCTCTCTCTAATAATATTCACTTGATTTTGCTCCCGGTATTCCGTCCCGCATGTCGAGCTGCCGGTGCTGCCCCCTCCCGGCCTCCGCGCAGCAGACTGAGTGCGTCGGTGGCGCCGCCTATCCGTTCGATGTGGCGACGGTGTCGTCGTCTTTCCTCGCCTCCGGTAGGGGGCTCTGAGAGGTGGACGTGCTCTCGTCGTCTCCACTGCTCATTGTCGTCATCGTCGTCACGGAGCTGGTGTCGGGACTCGTCAGTGCTGCCGCCGCCGCCGAACTGCTCAGCCGACTTAGCAGCTCAGCCGTCGTCACCCCGGCGGCAGAGCCTAGCAGACTCTCGTAGCTAAGGCTGCTACCCGTGCCGTACCACATCTTGTGCACCTGGCGGGGCGGAAGCAGACGATGTACGTGACGTCACACGCATGCCAATGATCACATTCATTAGTATACTGACAGTATTAAATATATTTAGCGTAATTACGTGTACTCTGTATATTAGCTACTGTAGAGGTATATAGCTAATATAACCTATATAGCTATATAGCTAATGTAGCCTATATAGCTATATAGCTAATGTAGCCTATATAGCTATATAGCTAAAGTAGCCTATATAGCTATATAGCTAATGCAGCTATATATATAGCTAATATATAGCTAATATAGCTCTATATAGCGGTATTTATGAGCTCTGTATATTAGTGTATTAGACGAGAAGTATATTGCCGCTACATACCTGAGCCGTGGTGGTCGATGAGAAATGCGATTTGTCGTGCGCCGACGGCATGACGTCATTACGTCGGCTGCGCATGATGCTCTTGTATTCGGAGATGCGCAGCTTCTTTCCGTCGACGATGCACGTGCGCTTCGGCCGCGGCCGGTAGCGGTAGTCGGGATGCTTCTCCATGTGCATCTTGCTGAGTCGTGACTGCTCCTCATAGAACGGCTGCTTCTCCGTGTTTGACATCCCCTTCCACCGCGCGCCTGCGTGTACGCATGTGACAGAAGCAGACGAGACTTTGTTATCGATTGTTTTAGACGATAATTATGTTAAATAAAAATTACATTATGTACTGTGTGTCATGCAGTCATGCCAAGTAGTATAAGACACATCGTTTCTCTCTTGTTTTATTAGTTTATTAACTTGTTTTATTGTAGTTTGTATTTGCCTGTATGATCTGCGATTATCCGTGCAATAAACTTTATTTGAATTTGAATTTGAATTTGAATTTGAATTTATTGGGCGGCTAGTGGTGCAGCTATTGGCGGCTATAGCAGAATTAGGGCGAGATAGCTCTATGAAGACTGAACTGGTAGTCCAGCAGATGAGTGAAATGATCTTTGAAATAATGAGAGAAGCTCCAAAGCTCTCATGGAAACTCCTATGGAACTACTTACTTACTACACAATCTGCTGGACTATGGAGAGAGATGAGGAGGGAACGATTCAGGTTACGCTCAAGCAGGTGAGGCAGAGCGAAGGAGCGAGGAAAGAAAGCGAGCTGTACCCGGGGAGGTAAGGGAGCGGGAGAGGAAGCGAGCTATACCCGGGGAGGTAAGGGAGGCGAGGGAGAGGAAGCGAGCTGTACCCGGGGAGGTAAGGGAAGCGCACACAACCGACCCTGCGCACCCATTATGATCCGGTTACAGACAACGACGATGCCGCTACTGCTGCTGCTGCCGCCGCCGCCGCTGATGGTGATGACGACGACGACGACGACGACAATTATGATGATGATGTTGATGATGATGATGATGATTATGGTTTTAATTATGGTAATGATGATGATGATGACGATGATGACGATGATGATGATGATGATGATGATGATGGTGGCGATGATGATGACGATGATGATGATGATAATGATGATGACGATGATGATGATGATGATGACGATGATGCTGATGGTGGCGATGATGAGCACGCTTGCAGCTTCCGTCTGCTCATCTGCATATTTCCGTAGGTCATGAGCTAACGTTCGTCTGTGTGAAGTAATGTTCCCGTATCTTGTTGTTTTCATGACTCCACATGCGTTGTCAATGACGCTACGTCACTTCGGCTCGCCGCATCGTTAGTAAAATTTCTTTCGCGTGAAGCAGGTTGAATACGATTCCCTCTCCAGACACAAAAGGGTTGTGTAAATCCGTATTAATTACATTTCCTAACAAGCCCCTCCTCTCCATGATGCATCCCCACCCACCACCATGCACGCTCATGCTCTCAGAACATCACAGAAAGTTAGTGGGAGGGCACACACAGTGTGAATGTTTTAGCGGCAAAATATTTTCGCTTGGCTGCTTTCGATGGGTTTTTTTTTCGCTTTACTACTTAGACTCGCGTTTTGCCCTCCCCTTCCCATTGACTCCAGTCTGTTACCCCCTCGTCCTAGTATATTGATTCAGCATCAAAACAGCTGTTTATAAGGCTGCTGCTGTTGCCAATGCTACTGGTGCCGCTATTACTGCAATTATTCTGCTTTTGATGTGGCTGCTTCAGGATACTACTACTGCTGCTGATACTACTATTAGAACAAAAACTACTACTACTATTACTACTGCTGCTGATACTACTATTAGAACAAAGCAGGAGGAGGTGCAGGAGGAGGTGCAGGAGGAGGTGCAGGAGGAGGTGCAGGAGGAGGTGCAGGAGGAGGTGCAGGAGGAGGTGCAGGAGGAGGGAGCTGCTACACCGGCGCTCTATAAACTTATTTCCACACAGCAGACGCCCAACGAAACAAATCGAGATGTCAAGTGTGAAGCGCGCAGCAGTCGCCGTAACTCTCTTACAGCAGACTTTGTTATTTAACTCTTTCACCCGCTACCAAATCTCTACAGCTGTTGTCGTTATCGTTAGTGACTCTCTGTTCTCGTTATCCATATCGTTATCCATATCGTTATCCATATCGTTATCCATATCGTTATCCATATCGTTATCCATATCGTTAGCCAATCTCTACTATAGTGATCAGTTTGATTATTATGATTCATATTTTACTAACCTCGTCAATATTTTATTTAATAGTTCATAGCATTGTAAAATCCATTTATGTAATTAAATAAGTTTGTCGTAGTTGTCTACATCGATATTTAATATTAATGTTATCGTTATCTTCATCGTTATTAAATAATTTTATTTTCATTTATATCTTTATTTTAAATCTGTGTCATCGTTTGTTTTACCTTCTTATTAAATGTCTTTCGTAGAATGTAGAGAGAAATGGGAGAGGCAGGAAGGAAAAGCGAGTGGAGAAGCAGGGGAAAGGGAAGGGGGGAAACGGAGGAGAAAAGGGGAAAGGCAGGAAAAGAGAGATGGGCGAGAGAGGAAAAGAGAGGGAGGGAGATGGCGGTGAGAGGGAGAGGGGAGGGAGGGAGATGGCGGTGAGAGGGAGAGGGGAGGAGGATGCAGGGAAAAGAGCTGGTGCCAAGCAGCATCCAGTATCTATGGAGAATCCTCATCGCAATAACACACAGGAAGAAAACTAGCCGGCGCCCCACAGGGCCAATGACCTTGCAGCTTTCTTGCGTTCGATTTTGATTGGAAATTAAGCTGGAAACTTATGCGAAATATGTCGAAATAGAATTCCAGGCCATCATAAATTAACATTACACGTTGAAATAAATAATTGAAAAAAAAAATTGAAATTAAATGATACAATCTCTGCATCTCTCTCTCGCTCTCTCTCTCTCTCTCTTTCTCTCTCTCTCTCTCTCTCTCTCTCCCTCTCTCTCTCGCTCTCTCTCTCTCTCCTCTCTCGCTCTCGCTCTCTCTCTCCCTCTCTCTCGCTCTCTCTCTCTCTCTCTCTTTCTCTCTCTCTCTCTCTCTCTCTCCCTCTCTCTCTCGCTCTCTCTCTCTCTCCTCTCTCGCTCTCGCTCTCTCTCTCCCTCTCTCTCGCTCTCTCTCGCTCTCTCTCTCGTTACCTTACTTTCTCTGTATTCACAAATACCGCATTAATGCTTGTATCTACCTCTATCATGCTAATGAAACTTACGCGGTGTGAAAGGAATGGTGAGAAAGCCCGAGCAAGGGAAAGCTAGGAGAGAACGAGTAGAGCGATTGCAAAGAAGAGATCGGGAAAGATGGAGGAAGGAGACGAGAAAGAAGGGTGAGTTAAGAGAAAGGGACAGAGCGCAAGTGCAAGAGAAAGAGAGAGATTGGGAGAGATGGAGATAGAGAGCGCGTATCAATGGCTTCATCATCCCCATCACCGTCATGATTCACAGCGTCTTCGTCATTCTCAGCATTGTTCTGCATCCCCATCACTGCCATTATTCATCTTCCCATCCTCCCGCAGCATCTTCCCATCCTCCCGCAGCATCTTCCCATCCTCCCGCAGCATCTTCCCATCCTCCCGCAGCATCTTCATCATCCTCGCCAACTTTTATCATGCCCCGGAGGCGAAAATTTTTTCCCCACGAGAGTTCCGGACCCCAGCCAATCAGCGCACTCCATTCACTCGACTTCCTCGAAGCAACAATGTAAAATTTATACAACCCTAACCCTAACCAGAACCCGAACCCTAACACTAACTATAATCCAACCAGGTCTGTCTTATATACGCACCATATATTACAAAACACTATCTGTGGTGGGTCCGGAACTCTCGTGGGAAAAAAAATTTCGCCTCCGGGGCATGATAAAAGTTGGCGAGGATGATGAAGATGCTGCGGGAGGATGGGAAGATGCGCGGGGGGGGGGAAATTTCGCGCCCCGGAGACTCCGCACCCTCCATCGCCATCCGCATCCCTAACAGCATCTTTATCATTCCAGCCTCCCAAGCATTCCCGTCATCCACAGCATCCTCATCCTTGGGCCACAATCGGCAGCTGGTGAGGGCAGATGGACATGTTTGCCAGACTGTGTAACTGTAGCCTATACACACACGGCCGACTCATCAGAATCAAAACAATCGCAGCTTTGATATTGAACAGAAGGCGGTCGGGAATAGTCCAACAATAACATTCTACGACGCGTGGCTTCCTGATTCATCTAACGCGGCCCGCGCCGGCCTGGATGCTCGCCGGAGAGAGTCTGAGAGAAAAGCGCCCCTTCCCTCTCCCTCTCGCTCCCCCCTCCCCCCATACCGCTCCTTAGCAGCCGAACGCAGAGCGGAGGGGAAAAAACCACGCAAGTGAAATTGATCCAGGAATGTCTCCGCGGTTGCTATTATTATTATTATCCTAATTAAATTATGCGATATGACGACGTGCGGAGGCTGGGTTTGATTTATGCAGCCTCCTCCCGTGCGGAGGATGAGGATGAGGATGAGAACGGTCACATCGCGCGCCGGGCCAGCATCTGCAGCGAACAAAAATAGTCACGACGTAGTATCGGCCACGTTGAAATGTAACAAGCGGGGATAGCGCCAGATAGAACACCAACCCACGAGCGGGAGAAGGCGGAGGAAGCAAGAAGACGCATGGGATGACGAGCAGCGTAACAATGTCGTGACTTGGTCTGGAGACGTCAGATTTCCGCGTATTTGATGTAATACTAACGCCAGTCATGCTGCGTATTCTCTTTTTTCGTTAGAGAACGCGAGAAGGGGATAGGATCATAGGGATGAGAGGACTAAACTGCTGGCGCATGACTCTTGTTGCTCGAAACAGCACAGCAACGCCATCGCCTCCTACCTATACCCTTCCTTGCATCCATTCTTCTTGGTTATTTAAAGGTTAATGTTGTTGTTTTTTACGTTCCATTGTTAGTTCTGCATGTTTCTTTATTTATTGCTCTCTCGCTGTTTTGTTCTTTAGGTCTATTATTCACTATTCTAATTTATTTCTACTATTCGTTCTCTATTTATACTGATTCACTGTTTCTTCGCTGTACCCATTCAGTATTCCTTCCTTGAGTATTCATTGTTCTCTTTCTCTTCGTGCTTATTCAGAGTTTTGCAGGTCTAATGCGGTTTTGCTCGTCGTCAGACAATGATCCCGGCAGGCGAAGATGGCGTTCTTGCATGCAATGATTTATCCCTGCCTTAGTTGTGGTTTATTTTTGTGTTCGCTCTGGTTCATCACTGCTTTCACAAATCACGTGGAAGTGAGCTTGCATTGAATTTCGCTTGCTAAGTGCTAGCGATTCATATAAATCACGTTTCTCTTCTCTGTTCTATTGCAGTCCACGAAAACCATATCTGACATTCAATACAGTCTTATAGCTTACAATACTTGATGCTAACTCGCTTACAATACCTGTCGCCAACCTACTCTACGATATTAAAATGTATTTTTAGTTATTTTACAATTATTATAACTATATTAGTTATATAACAGTTATATAATTAAATTATAACTAATTTACTATACTCGTTGTAATAAAATGGGCAATACCTGATCTATTATATATGTACTACACCGCTATAATATGCACTTTTTTATTTGGCGCTATTCTAGCCTTTGTCACGCGCGCGCGCGCGCACACACACACACACACACACACAAGGGGAGGTAAGGGAGCGGGAGAGGAAGCGAGCTATACCCGGGGAGGTAAGGGAGGCGAGGGAGAGGAAGCGAGCTGTACCCGGGGAGGTAAGGGAAGCGAAGGAGAGGAAGCCAGTATTCGTCCACGCACCGAGGATCTTGCTGATGTTAGAGTTGTGCATGTCGGGACACGCCTTGAGGATCTTGCGTCGCTCGTCCTTCGCCCACACCATGAACGCGTTCATTGGTCGCTTGATGTGTGGTGCACCCTCGGATTTCTCCTTCTGTGTACGGATGATTTTGGCACCTAGTAGTTTACCTGAGGAGTTTTTTTAGAGATCATTAATCTAATACTTGTTAGGGTTAAGGTTAGGGAATTAGGGTTATGGTTAGGAATAGTTGTTATTCATTTTACATTGTTGCTTCGAGGAAGTCGAGTGAATGGAGTGCGCTGATTGGCTGTGGTCCGGAACTCAAGTGGGAAAAAAAATTTGCTGGCCCGCTAGTGCTGACTGCTACAACAGTCGCACATGATTTCTAATTTAACGCCATGTTTCCGCACTAAGCAAAACATTACCATAAAAACTAATGGTGTTTGGGGGGATAAATTAGAATTTCACCCTCCGAATTGCCATTGGAAGATATAACATTTAGTTTGTTTAACTCAAATTCTCTTTTGTGAATATTTGTGTACGTTCATAGCGGAGAAACGAAGATGGAGCATCTCACAGCGTGATTCAATACTGAAAAGTAATCTTCATATATGGCTCTCTCTCTCTCTCTCTCTCTCTCAAGATTCAAGATTCAAGATTTAAGATGAACCTCTTCCAGCGACCAAACGAATACCCGGTGAAAATAACGTTGAATCCATCCGTTTGCGAAATAAGAAATATCTGTAAATATCTACGCATCGAAGTTCGTCTGCTTCTATATTATACCTCACGCTTATTGGCTCACTAGAGGATGTGACACCACGTGACATTGGTACTTACTCTGTCCACCCAGTCCGTAAGCGTCCGCTTGCTCCGTTGTCGAGTTGGCAGGCGCGTAAAGGTGCATCGGGTAGGGCTTGCAGTTGCTACTAGAGGTCGCTGTTGGCTGAGGTTCACATTTGATGTTGATCATGCCTGATGGGGATCCTGAGTTATGCACTGCTTGTCTGTACGAGCAAGACGAGAAAGAGAAGACCTGGTCAGTGTGATGTATGCCTCAGGACAGGTTTTTGTCGATGCAGGGCACTCATGCAGAAATGGGGATACACCGAAGTTGGCCCAACCGAATGCGACTGCGGGGAGGGACCAGACTATGGGACATCTTCTGGAATGCCCCCTATTACCAGAGCCCTGTAGACCTGGAGACCTTGAGGCTTTCAACCACCGTGCCAGGTCCTGTGCGCTGCAGTGGCTAGGCCGAGTGTAGTGTAGTGAGAAGAAGAAGAAGTGTGACGAAGAAACAATTACGAAGGAAAGACGGGGTGAGAGAGCAGACTAGAGAGGCGGGACTAGAGAGCGGAAAGACGGGGTGAGGGAGCAGACTAGAGAGGCGGGGGAGTGCGGAAACTGGAGAAACTATGACAAGGGCAGGAAGAGAAATAACGTGAGCATGGAATGTACAGAAACAACAAGAACACGAAGGAAAGGAAACGGATGTCAAAGAGAAAGAGAGAGAGAGAGAGAGAGAGAGAGAGAGAGAGAGAGAGAGAGAGAGAGAGAGAGAGAGAGAGAG